AAATAAAGAGAAAGCTCAATACTCACGGGGACTTCCAACTTCCAGCCCGTTTTGTATCTTTATATCTAACAGCTCTGCCTCACTACCCACTTATTGACTAATTCATAACAGACAAAAGAGCAACAAGGGGTATGGGACCTACTAACCAGCACAGAAATAAGGCTCTTTATTCCTAGACCTCAGAGCTCTCTACAGAGGCTCATCAGGGAGAGACAGTGAGACTGCCCAGGCAGAGGTAACCTTTACCAGGTGGAAAAGGGAAGAAAAATGCTGTACTCCCAGGATTTACAAGTTAAAGTCAAGCCTCAAAATCTCTTTTGTTTGTCTAACATGAAGAATTACAACATATTAAGACATAAAGAAGAAAGACTTCAACACAGGAAGTAGAGAAGGTGAAGCGTCCCTGGGCCAGATTTCAGGGCTAGAAGCAGCCCCTCAGCAATTAAATACTAGTTATTAAAGTTCATTTCAAAACCTGAGATCACTCTGAATTCCAAGCCAGTGTAGCAGAGGTCAAAATCTGGCCCAGAGACTGGTGAAAATCAGAGCATATTTCCCCCTCTCCCAATGCATCCCTCACCCACTAAAAGTTAGAACAACTTTTTGGGGATCTCTGAAGGCACCCATCATTTTTAACTGTTTCTACATCCAGCAGTTCAGCAGTCTGCCCTTTTCAACTCAGGCAGAACACAGCTACCAGCTTTTGCATGCTCTAGAATCATCTGCTTGTAATGAAGTCACACGCAATATTTTCTGTAAACCCATCAGTAAGCCTTAAAACTCACTGCCTCACGTCAGGCCCGGCTCCAACCAACATCATTAGAAGTTTCCTCTCCCACAGAGGGCTTTTGGGAGGCACCAAGCAAGGCAGCTCCCAGCCCCAGTGATGGTGAACAGCTCACATTAGGATGGCTTTTTTGGAAGAGGAGCCAAACTAGATGGGAGAAACCTCCCTCATGGCCAACAGATGCAGCACCAAAACAAGCTTCTTGAACAGACTCTCTGAGATATACCTTCTTCCCTATGAAGTCAACCTGAGCCTTGTTCTCACACCCTCCCCCCTCCTTTGTATTGATGTTCAAAATGTGACTATCAGCACCATTAAGCTTTGGTTTGGAAAACAGGAGCATTCATCACTGAGCTGTGCCAACAAAACATGCCCATTTGATTACTTCCAGCCCATCCAAAAAAATTAGATTATTATTATTATTACTCCTCATGCTGCAGTTTATAAATATGAAGGTTAATAAAGCCGTTTCATTCCCTGGGAACTAGTCTAGATTGATCTGCCTTTCTAGTTTATCACCATCTCCCAGCTGTGGGAGATAATCTACATTAAGAAATGGTGTCCCTGTGATTAATTGCAGTCTTGCAGGCCACAAACATACCCATTAGATTGCACATTTCACTGGTAAGTGTATTTCAGGGTGCATCAACAACTTTGGATGACAGCAGAAGCGTACCACAACTACACAAAAGTCCATTTGTTACAACAAGAACCACTGCCTTCTGGTGCCGCATAAAAGCACCTGTAGAACAGGTCAAGACTTCCAACCTAAAGGAAAAAAAACAGGCTGGAATAAATAGATACAGAAGACATCCAGGAGTTAACCAACCTGTGTGTGCAGTCACCAGTCATCAGGGCCCTGGGAAACACAGCTGCTGAGCTTGGATTGACCTCCCAGCCCTCCTTGGGCCACGGCTGGAGTCCACTTCTGGACTGTCATGCTCAAGCACTTCCCTTTATGGAACTGTAAATGCCTTCTGAACTGAACCAGGTTTGTGCTCTGGTCAGAAGCCCACTAAGCATCATCTGCAACAATTTCCCGTGGTTGCAAGCTTCAAAAACTGAGAAACTTAGAAAAATGTGCTGCATTCCACCAGCTATTAAATAGTCATTAAGTGATAGAAAATGATATGACAAAGAGTGAAATTCCCCTTCATACTAAATCATCATTTTATACATTTGAATGATTCCCTTTCAATACCTCCTTCTGCCAGCTTTTTGGCACAGTGTGTAGAAGTAGCACCTTAATCCTCGTGTCTGCATTCCCAACTCAAAAATCCATCTCTTCTCCGGTGCATACAGTGCAACAGCTACCACTATACTCAGCAGCTGGGTTCTGCCATTCACCTCATAACCCCTGGATCTCAGCTGATCCAAACAAACTGCAAAAACCCAAAAAACTCGTGTAAAACACAAAGCTGTGACACGCAAGAATGCGACAGCCATCAACACATACACAAAACAAGCTGCAAAACAGCTCTGCCTGGGTTTCTATCAAGTCAAGTAACAGGAAATGAACACAGCATTAAATTAAGATCACCTGCAGAGATTGGAGTAAATATCTTTTAGCTGTACTTGCTGCTACAGCCCCACTTTGCTATCCCACAATAGCAGGTCAATGAGCTACAGCTTTTCATCCATCTTGCCTGCTAGTGATCCTCACAAATGGCAGCACGCCTGCGAAGGCCAAAAGATGGATCCTAGAACATTGCAACAGATGAACTCTATCAGAGTAGGAGGTTCTGCCTCACACATCTCCTGCGTGCAGAGGAGTTAATACACAACACTGGAATCCAAAAGGGAAAAAAACACACTGGAAATTGCTAGGCATATTTCAAACCCCAGTCACACCGCATGTGAAGTGTGATACAATCCTGGAACACCCACACTTGAACGCACTGGCTTCTACACAGGTGATACAGAGACCTGTATGTACCTGCCTCCAGAAGCAAAGATCACTGCAGCAACAGATGACATCAGTGTAAAGAATGTCAGAACGATTTCACACCACTCAGCATCCTGAGAAAGAATCAGTGACCAAAAGGGACAACACAACCCAACTGAAAAAAAAAGAACCTCTCATTGCACAAATTCATAGATACTACAGTGAGGTAACTTAAGAAAGCCAAAAATGCACTGCATTTGAACAACTGTCCCTCCCAGCCTGGGAGCAAAACTGCCCCAACGCAATGAATTACTTCCACAGACACAGATCATCCTGCTCCTCCTTACCAAGTCTTCAGCACTTATTTTCATTAGAGTAAATAACTGCACCTGTGGGATCTTTTTTTTGTAATTCAAGTGTTCACATGAGCCTGTTGGCAAATGCATACATTCCCCAGGAGATTCACCACTGAGACATTGTTCTTTCTCCCAGCTAATGCTATGGATAGCCATCAGGTCAGGCTCCCTCATGAAATATTCACACAGCTCTACTCTGCTGTCATTCTGGAAAAAACACACCTGTCCAAGAGGGCTGAAGACTTACATTGAAGTCATCACTGAAGGCTGTTTCTCCATTACCTGCTCAAGTTACAGCAACGTGAAACCAGAAGTGTAGATGGCAAGGTAAACTGCAGGTAGGCAGGTCAGCCAAGCAAAACAGGGCCACTTAACAAGAACTGCACCATTTAGAGTTTCAAAACAAATCCTAGGACAAGCCCTAGGATAGTGCAATGCAGAGACAAAGAAAAGTTGATCTGCAGAGGCCTTCGTCACATCACCTGACAACAACTCACATTCAAAGCATCCAGAACACTGCTATGCAGAAGAAAAGTGCAATTTCCAATCCGCACCACGGTCCCACATAGAGATTTATACTCTAAGAATTAACAACCTGCAGAAGTAAGAGGGCAGTGCTCAGCTGTCAGGGCAGAACATCTCCTGTGATAAGACAGCAGATGGGAACACTGCAGCTTGCAGCTCCAGATAAGCACCTGTGCTCAGACAGAAGCCATCTCAGATCAGTGACAGCACTTGGGTCTGAGGCACAGGAACCTGATCTACACATTGGCACTGCTGCTGCAAACACCCTGCCGTCTTACAGCCCTCTCACCAACCAAGGCACCGAGAAAGCTAAGCCTGCTGTTCGAATCACACCAACCAGAGTTGCGGACTTCAATGAAATCTTCACCTACTTACAAAACCATACAACACAGATTTCACTACATCAGTGAGTGTGAGAAGCTTTAAGCATTTTATCATTGCAGTCACAGCCGTGGTGTTGCTGTATTTCTATCAGACAGGGAGAACTCAAGGCCTAATTTTTCCACAGAACTGCTCGTCTCAAATAATCTCTCATGCCTGCTGCTAAGAAAATACAGTTCCCTTTTTGTCACTGACCTCTAGTGGTGAGCACATACAGGAGAAGCACCACCTCACAGCACAGTTACTGTGAACGACGTTGACCCTTTCCCCATCAACAAGAGAAAAACATACTTTTTTCCCCTTGCAGACCACAGCAGGTAAGATGATATTCTACAGTTCAGGGATGGAAGCTCTCACCCAGCAGGGTGACTAACCCCTAAGCTAGCAGGGCTACTCCTTACATCTGACTTGAAGACAAGCAGTGGGTTACCTCCCTCCCACTCCACAGAGTAAGGATCAGAGATCTCTGTACTCTCCTTGTAGCTGCCTTCCCTCCCAGGCCTTCAGCTTGCTGTGACACAAGGTTTGCCTTGATAGAGTCCAGCTGTGTAACCTTGGCTCAGGCTTGCTAGGTTTCAGCAAAGCAATGAGTTGTGCAAGGTAAGAAAGGTAAATTACAGGTTTGTTGAGATGAAATGCAGCACCTGACTTTAGGACAGTAGCAAGCAAGACACAGAAGATGCTGCAGCAGCCTGTTACCACCCCACCTGTACTGCTGGCACTCCACTCCCTCGCCATGACATATCAGCACTGCACACACCTGCTTTTCAGCCAAGTATAATAACAGGATTTGCATTTAGACACAGATAACAGTGGCAGAGTTGTACATTCAGATGTGTGATATTCAGGCTCAGAGCAATGGGTTATGCTGCAGCATTTGCTCAGTGAACAAGGTAAAGCCAGTTAGCAAACAACCAAATGCAACATATCTCCAAGTAGGTTCTTTTCTGGGACAGGTTTGTAAACAGTTTGTGTTTAACTAGACTCTGCAGGTTTGAATCCAGCAGGCAATATTTTAATCAATAACAAAGACCTGGCAGCTCTGTAATTGCTGTAGTATCAGTACCTTGGCTTTCTTCATGTGACTCATGATTTTGCCAAGATCTTCAACATCTACAACAGAATCCGTGCCTCCAGCTTCCTCAGCATCAGCTTCCTCCTCACTGGTGGTTTCGAACAACTCTTCAGCCTGCATAAGTGACCAGAGAAAAGAATAGGAACATATCTGCTGTGACAACAGAAAAAATTCACTCATACTAACCAGTGAAACCAAGTAACCCTCAATGAAGACTACTGAGAAATACACCATAGGCTGGCAATAACTTCTATAAGATGAGATGCCCTTATTTCTAATGATTCAGTAGTACAGAGACCACATGAAACTCCAAATCCATGATGCTGTATCCCTATCTGATCACATAAGTGATACAGAAGGATCTGATTCCTGCTGGATGCTACAACGATCCCAATGCCTGAACTCCTGCTTCTCTGGGTACCCCTGCCTGAACAAATAGGAACAGATTACAGGCAGCTCTATTTGGGAGGCCCCTGGGATGTAAACAAAGCGCCTGAGCTTCACCAGGTTGAAGTGGGAGCAGGTTAACTGCTCAAAGGCTTCATTCTGGTCATAAGACAAAGCAAAGACTGACTCCCTTGAAGCATCTGTCACAACACACCTCCTCTCACTCAGGCAAAAAGCTCCCCCCTCATATGGAAGCCACTCAGTCTAGTCCACACTAGTCATTGGCTCCTCTTCCTGGATTACTTTGCCTGCTATCCCCCATCTCATACCCCTCTCTCCCTTCTACTCCATACTAAAGATGCATCAAGCCTAAGCCCCTCACAGCACCCCTCTGGCCTGTGGAACAGGAGGAGGAAAAGGTCAAATAGCATTTCAATAAGCACACCAGAAATAAGAACTCATAGATTTTGGCTCTACCTCAGTGTTCTCAACCTCTGGCGCTTCACGTTCATGACTTGAACTCTCCTTATTCTGCTTCCCTTGGGATTTGCACTTCCCTTTCTTGCACTTCCCACTGCAGGGCTTCTTTTCCCCTCTGCAGAGGGCCTGGAGACAACTGAGGAACTTGGATTTCCAGGCTTCAAAGTCAGCTTCAATGCTGCCATGCTTACTCTGGACCACATTGCAGTCCCCCTCGGCACGAGTCATGATACGCCTGGCACTGAGCATCCACAGCCACCTGTCAATATTTCTTCCAACCTGGGATGGGACAGAAATTGGAGAAATTGAATGAAGACCAAGTGAAAACATGCAATTAAGAAAGCAAAGACAACAGAACTGGTGAGCTACAGGGGCTGCAGGACTGCAAGGCGGGGGTTTCTGGACTCCCCATCACCTGCTGACTCAGACTGTGGACACAAGTCAGTCTGAACATCACCACACCCTCAGGCTTTAATCTGTAAATCTCTGCTATCATGGTTACGTGACAAGTGAGGTCTGGGAACTAGCTTATGAGGGGCTTACTGACATTCCTCATGGCCTGCAGCTATACAAAGATAACGATGCAGTGGCAAGCCATGCTATTTTGCTCCAAGTTAGAAAAAAAAACAACCAAAAACTAAGTATCAGGCTTAGATACCATCATATTTTACTTCAGGAAATAAAATTAAGATCCACAGACTCCAGGAAAACACATGGAAAGTCGAGAAACATGCTCTAAACTGCAAAGCAAGAGGGCTTCCAGTACTGCATCTTCACAAAGGGCTTCTAGAACTGCATGATAGAAAGCTTTCAAAGCTGGGAAACTAAGTGAATAAGGATTTATTGAGTGTATTCTCATTAGTCATCACTAAAACCACTCAGATTCACACCATGAATACTGGAGTCCTTCCTATTTCAGATAGCAGCACACCTGTTTCAAAGCTGCACTGCCTGTGGCCTAAACCCAATTGCTACCAAGTCCACACAAAGGCTGAAATAGAAGCTGACTTCTCACACTTTCAAATCCTTACCAGCTCACACACCAGTGTATTCTCAGAACACCAACCCTAACCACCCACTAGTGCCACTGAGTGTTACTGCAGTCAGGAAGATTTAGCCATTCAGAGGAGCAGAAAAGAAAGAGAATGGGAATACACTCACCGTGTTGTAATGATCAACATAAACTGAGTTTCCCAAGCCAAACACAGCATATCTCAGGCCCTTCAGATACGTTTTGCCAAAGCGGAAGTCATTTGCAGCCTCTTCCAACCACTTGCAGAACCAGGCTGCACTCTCAGTCGGCTGCCCATCTGTGTACGTAGCTACCAGGAACACACAGATGTTCCTGCTGGTTGTCTGTTGTATAATAAAGAGAACAGGACAGGAAAGATAACTGCAGTTCTCAAAGCACTTTACGTCAGGACAAGCACTAATAATACACAGAATTGAAGGAGTCAGGGTGGGTTTTTTTGTTAATTGTAGTTGGACTGGAAAAGCTGCAGGTAGTGACCTCAGTGGTGAGAGCCTATCCTCTGTGCAAAACCTCCCCAAATCAGCCAAGAAATATCAAGCTGTGTTCCTTAGGGACGCAAAAAAACACGACAGCAAAACTTGACATCCACCTTCCCTACCCAACCAACAGCTTCTTGAACAAACTCTTGCAGTGATAACATCTCCCACAGATTCAAGAGGCAACGATCAATATTTACAGATGAAAAATCTATCAAGGATTACTCAGTATAAGCGTGCCTCCATGGAATTCTCTCACTTCAGGCTTTGAAGGCTATGGAGGTCTCACAGTCCATTCATTCTGGTGTTCAATCTTTCAGGTGTAGCCCTGCCAGAGCTGCAGAACCAGCTCACACAAAGCCAGGGTCAGTATCAGCATATTCTACGTGATGCTTTACAGTAACTTTCAAGATCAGTGGTGAGGACTGATGAGCTGTGCTTTCCTACATCAAACAGAAAGCAGTCACACACACAGCTCTGGAGACTTCCAGGACAAGAGAAACAGCAAGAGGAAAAGAGCCTCAATCTCCAGAAAAGCTCGTACTAAGTACCTACCTCCTCTGCTAGGCAATCATCAGGATCATATTCTCCCATGTTAATGACTTCCACAGGCAAATTAAGGCAAGTAACAGCTTCAGCCAAACCCTTTGCAAATCTCTAAAAAGTTAAAGGCAGAAAGTTATCAACGACAAACCCAGCTACAGCGAGTGTCAAGGAAACTCTGTGTGCCCAATCATAAGACTTACCACAGTACAGACACTTCAAAATTGGACATTGCACCTCTAATACTTATATTTAAAAACTGAAACACACTGAGAATTTACATAAAGGCTAATAGCTAATAATTTTACATACATGCAAATTAGCATTTTTGACTAAGTACCCAGAACAGCACTTCTGTCTACAGGAAATATCTGCTATCAAATTAAGAGTATATTCTAAGAGCAAGTCCTAAGCTCAACAATTAACCTCTCTACTACATGCCCCACTTACAATGAGAACAGTTGTCTTCCTGTTTTGTAGTTTTGAGTCAGCTTTCACATCAGGCACTACTTCCTAATGAGCTTTCCAATAAGCTTTCAGATTTTTACTCAGTGTCTTCGAGGCAAACAACATACTCGAATCTCAATTTCAGAGGTGAAAAAGCAGTAACTTATACCTTTGCTGTGCCAGTCTGAGACCCATAGAAAATCTTCACTCCAGCAACATAGACCTCCTTTGGCTGCAGAGCAGCATATCCATTGACTAGTTTGCCTTCTGCTACCTCAGAAGACACTGGATTCTCATTGGAATTTTCATCCTATGGAAAAAAAAAAAAAAAAAAAAAAAAAACAAAAGAACATTGTGTCTCATTCAATCCCTTTTCAAAGTGTCATTCAGCCTACTTGCCCAAAAGCATTTAAAATACAAAGCCAGCATCCAGCTTCTCAGCATTAAGCAAATGCAATAATTATTCTAGCTTTATACTCTCACAGGAAAAAAAAAAGCCTAACTGACTACTTAATTGAACTAGGCCACTCTGCAAACTCATCTCACACCCCAGAGCAACAGTGGGATCTGTCAGAACCCAAGAAGTAATTCCTCCCGCCTCATGCAACAGAGCTTCACTCCAACATATAAGGAGGCTTTAACATTCTGAATGAGCTAACAACACTCCCATCCTAAAACCAGTTCAGTCTTTCCACTAAGGTCACTGGAAAGACTAACCTGATGCACTGGGCACACACAGAGCAACTTGCTTTGTGACTGAGCTACTCAGGCTGGCACTTCTCTGCAGCAAAGTGAGAAGCTCTCAGCTGAGATCTGCTCTGCCATGAGAGGAACAAAGGTGTTGTAGTTATCCACACTCAATACAATCCACACAGGGGGTTGTAACTTCAAATAAGCTACAACTGGGATTTGCAAGAACCAAGGTGAACCCACCATATCACGCTGCACAAGCAGTCACCTTCACTTGTAACTACTACTCCTTTCCACACACAGATTTTGGGTTCTTCTCAGAGGAATGTACTTAAGCACTCAGTTACCTTCCTCTTGGCTTTGGTAGTGAAGAACTGAATGGCAATCCAAAGGCTGATCCCAAAAGCCATAACAGAATAGATGTAAATTCTGTGCAGCCATAAGGACACCAGGCAAGTGTAGAGAAAATTCCACGTATCCATTGAGACATCTAAACCTGGAATAAACCACATACGTAGCAGAAGCAGGATGAAATTAGAACAAGAAAACCATACTACTCCCACAAACTCATGCCATCAGCTATTCTCAGGCTCTGCAGAAAACAGCTCTCAGCTGAAGACACCACCACTATTGAAACAAAAACCTCCACCTTCCCAGCAGCACATACGCAGTTCCATCTACCTACCCAAGCAAACATTTTAGGCTATCATACGGAAATACTGGTTTTTTTTCTGATCTAGGACAGGTTCTGATCCAAAGAAAAGCAGAAAACATCCGTACAGCACTACTGCCTAAAACATCCCTGTGAAACATCAGCTGGAGTTTCCTGGCCTTCATTTCACACAGAACCAACAAATGTAGATCTCTGCAGATGGGAAGTGACATTCCAAGGAGGGGAATCATCCTGAGAGAGCCTGCTGCAGAGCAGAGACCTTGCACATGCAAGGCACTACGCTTCTTCTAACAGGCTTGATAGAGTTTCAAAAACAGACTGAAATCTAGATTCAAACTCAAGTGCTTTCCCAGGCAGCACAGGTGAGGTTTAATTCATAGCTATTGAGACTGTTATGAACTGACTTGAACCATAGAATTGTAGGGGTCAAATGAGACCTGAGGAGCTCCCCTAGTTCAACCCCATATCTGTTCCCTGCAGCAGGCTGTACAGAGAACTGTCCAGATGGATCCTGAATATCTCTAGAAAAGGAGACACCCCCCCTCCCAGCAGCCAACCCCATGGCTATGGCTCTCTCACACTAAATTTCAACTACATGATCTTGCAGCCAGGAGTGCTGTTTGTGCAACCCCTGCAATTACTTACTGCATAGCAATAAAAATCAAGAGCCTGAATAAGGCTCACTTGCAACACCTATTGCACGAGAAACAGATCGTGGCATCCTGCTGATGTCTGCAGCCCTCCCACGATTCTGGTTTCTGTTTTTTGTTTACAGGCTCAGAGATTGAGTATTTCACAACAACTGGAAACTTCACCATCGCTTCACCCTCACAACTCTGGATGAGGATCCCAGCCGGGGCACCTCCTGCTCCTAAGCACCGCGCCTCAGCCCCACATTTCCCCACTAAAGTTATATGGCAATAACTGCCCCGCTTGCAACCCTGCCATTCCCATAACCCAACGCACCCATAAACCCCTTAAGGATACCCTATGCCTACACCGATGTCCCTATCTACGCCCCCACCTCCCTCCAAGGTCAGTCCCTCCACCCACCCCTAATTACCCCACTGGGGGTTGGACCCTCTGCCCTCCCACCCCCCTCTCAGGGCCCCCTACACACACACTAATCACCTTCCGCCAATTACCCCAAGCACACCCCTCTAAAGGAGCCCAGCCCATAACTCATTACCCCACTGCACCCACACAATTAGTTAATTACCCCACCCTCCAGCCCCGCGCACCCACCGCCCGCCATGTGCCACCTCCATTCCCTTCCGGCCCCGCCGCGCTCTCCCGTTTCCCATCGGACGGCTTTTTCCTGTGCGCGGTTGGGGGGGGGGCCGCGGACAGAGCGACCAATGAAAAGATGCACTGACCGGAAGTCCCACCCCCCAAACGCCGCGAGTGACGCGGGGGTGCAGCCCGGCCGAGCTGCCGCCATGTCCATCTTCACCCCCACCAACCAGATTCGCCTCACCAATGTGGCCGTGGTGAGGGCACGGCGCGCCGGAAAGCGCTTCGAGATCGCCTGTTACCGTAACAAAGTCATGGGCTGGCGCAGCGGAGCGTGAGTGCCTTGAAAGCCCGGCTGTGAGGGGGGGGAGGAGGCTTCGCGTGGGGCCTTGCTGCGAGAGAGGGAGCCTGCGGTGGGACCGGTGTGGAGGGGAAGGCTTCCGTGGGGCCCTGTTTGGAGGGGGAGGGCCGGCTTTGTGGGGGGAATCCCGGTTTGAAAGGGGAAGCCGCCAGTGAGAGGCATGCGTTGAGAGGAAGGGAAAGCCCCCGGTGAAGACTGGGAGGTTGGAAGTCCGTGGTGGGTTCAAGTTTTAGGGAGGGGGCGGCTCCCGTGGGATCGGCTGTGAGGGAGGGAGGCCTCCGTGGGGCAGTGTGAAGGGGAGGGGTCCCCGGTGGGACTCAGATGCGAGGGGAAAAGGCTCTCAGTTTGCAGAGGGAAGGTGCCTGGGGGACACAGCTGTGGGTCTGAAGAAGCCCAGGGATTGCCTCAGCCGGCTGCCTCCACCCAGCTGCTCCCTGCAGCCTTGGCAGCAGTGCCCCAGGGCCACTGTCTTAGCCCTTAGCAATGGGACTCATTCCTCCCCACCCCGAGCTCGTTGTCATCCCACAGCCCTTTCTAATGCTGCTTTCCTTCACTAGGGAGAAGGATATTGACGAGGTCCTGCAGACCCACACAGTGTTTGTCAATGTTTCTAAAGGCCAGGTGGCAAAGAAGGAAGATCTGGTCCGGGCGTTTGGAACAGATGACCAAACAGAAATCTGTAAAGTGGTAGGTTCTGTGCACTTTGCAATATGTTTATAAAAGCTTGGAGATATACGTGGCGTGCAGACCTGGTGGGTTGGTGTGTTACTGGAAGGCTTTCGTAGAATGAAGTGTTGATGTATGCAGAAGAATGATTTATCTGTTGAAAGGTGGAGCTCTTTGGTGTAGTGTTAAATTTATACGTCTCTTAGGTGAGAGTTCTGATTATTCTGTACTGCTTTCATGCACTGTTCTCTGCAGACACAGATGAGCTGCAAGGATGCTCAGAGGGCTGGGGCATCGCTCCTATGCAGACAGGCTGAGGGAGTTGGGCTTGTTCAGCCTGGAGAAGATGAGGCTTCAGGGAGAGCTCGTAGCAGCCAGATAGTGCTGCTGCTGTGGGTTTTTCCCCTGACATCTTTCCACCACTGTGTGTCATGGTTGATACACTTATTCTTTTTCTGCACTTGGTGTCTAACCAAAACTTTCCAGCAGTTGTTAAATTTATCACGTTAGGCTTTTCACTCAAATGTTTGGCATTTATTAACCTCTTTATTTTTAATTAACTCTACAGATTCTGTCAAAAGGGGAGTTGCAGGTATCAGACAAAGAACGACAAACACAGCTGGAGCAGATGTTTAGGGACATTGCAACTATTGTGGCTGACAAATGTGTGAACCCTGAGACAAAGAGGCCATACACTGTAATCCTTATAGAAAGAGCCATGAAGGATATTCACTACTCTGTCAAACCAAACAAGAGCACAAAGCAGCAGGTTGGTATTCCCTAAAAATCAGCTTGCACTCAGAGGTGTTGCCTTCAAGTGAAGTTTTGCTATGGATGTTCTCGCAGGAATAAAAAAGCCCTGTGGTTCAAAGCTGTCACCGGGGTTTCTCAACTGGCTGGAAGCTGAATGATGAGTAGGAGCAACTTCTGATGATGATGTAAATGACAAGTTTTGATCTCTGTGGCGTTTTAAATGCTCTTTATCCTTTTCTGAATGTCTCTGCAGGCACTGGAAGTGATCAGACAGTTAAAGGAGACCATGCAAATTGAACGTGCTCACATGAGGTTACGATTTATTCTTCCGGTAAAGGAGGGGAAAAAACTGAAAGAGAAGCTCAAGCCACTGATTAAAGTTATTGAGAACGAAGACTTTCATGATCAGTTAGAAATTGTAAGTGATAAAGCAGATCTTGGCTTTCATATGTGATTTCACCTGTGCAGTGTAGAGTTAATGTGGGGAAGTTGTTCAGATAAACTGCAAGGCTACCAGAGATCTCTGGTAGTTCTCTGTACACAGAGATTGGAAGTCGTTTTGTGGCACAGAGGTGGCTGGTTCAGGTTGAGGGGAAGCACAGTGTAGTTTCCCTTAGCAGTCATTGTCCTGTCACGTTGATGAGTTTCTCTGCATATATGGAATTTTCCTGTTAATTATTTGGTGGTTCTGGCCTGTATTTTGGCAATAGTTAGCTTTTTAAAAGCAGTTTGTGGTACAGCAAATTTGGTATTGGTAAAAAACAGTTAAGAATTTAGAAACCTAACTGTCCAAGTGTCCAGAATCCTGACTGTGCTGGAACCAAAAGCTTTTGTAAAGATGACTTGATACAGATTGCTTATCAACTCTTCAAAGTAACCAAGTCCTTCTTAGTAACTGAACAATAACAGTTTTTAAAGGAAAATTTAAAAAGGCCTTGAGAAATTGATGAGAATCAAATACTATTGCTTGACTGATGGTCTGTGGTGTATTTCAGGTGTGCCTTATTGACCCGGGCTGCTTCAGAGAGATTGACGAGCTGATCCGGTCTGAGACCAAAGGGAAGGGAACGCTGGAAGTGCTCAGTCTGAAAGATGTGGAGGAAGGAGATGAAAAGCTTGAATAACAAAAAAAAGCCCTGAATAACAAAAAAGCCCTTCTGGAGCACTGCAAACAACTGGCATTAGCCACTCCTTTCTGTTGAGCCTTCTTGTTTAGTTTCTCCAACCCCTCGCTGCCAAATACCTTCTGACACACACGAACCCTTTGGGATTTTTCCATGCGGTGGTTTGGTGTTTTTTATTTTTTTAATCGTTTTCCACTTGGTTTACAGGTGATTTGCCTGTAGGAACCTTTGGTGTCAGAGTTGCACTAATGAGAATTAAGACTCGATGGGGAGTTTAGCTTTGGTGAATGTTAAGGGTTGCTGATGGAGGTGTTTGACTGATAGGGTGCCAAACACGTTTGCTTTGAGCTGTCGGTGCTGAGTGGAAGGCTGCACAGGGGGGTTTGGATGTGGGGAAAGGGAAAGAGAGACACATTTTCACTTTCAGGCAAGTGCAAAGCGTGGGTCGTGTCTGCTGATCTCTTGGCAGCATGAAAACTGATGTAGACATCCATAATTGGCTGCCTAATAATTACAGTAATTTAAAGGACCGTTCTTGTGTGTTTCCTATCACTGGGTATAACAGTACTTGCTAACTTAGAAAAAATGTTCTCCAAATAATTTATTCATAAAATATATTTAGCTACATTGGTGAGGAAAAAAAGAAATAATAATTATCATCTATTTATGTATTACAGATACGGAAAGAAAGGACTATTTTTGTTGTAGCATAGGAGCTGCCCCTGGCTGCAGCGCTGCGTTTGGAGGCTGAAGGCATAGGCTGCATTTCTGAGCTGTTGTCATTCATGGGATGAAATGAAGCGGATCTCTCCCAGGCATTGGCCTCTGGCTGTTGTGCCAGACAGGCTTTTGTTGGGCCCTCCTTCCCTCGTGGTAGCTGTCCTTTATCCTGTGGCTTTCTATGCTTCTTTCTAGCACAGCATTTCCAGCCGGCTCCCGAGGCCCAGCACTCTGAGTGGCTTTGTGAAGGCTTCTTTCAGCTGTGCCAAACGAGTGCTTTCAAGTTTAAGTTGGGAATCTCAAACAAGAGGGGGAAAAGAGGACAGAAGCTGGAAAGATACTAAAAATACAATAAGAAAATACCTGGTACACAGCCCTGTGTGTCTGAAGGCTGAGCCTGCAGGAGTTTCAGGGGAGCCTTTGGTATTCATGAGCCTGTTTTCATGCTGATAATACACAGGAGTTGGGATTTGCGAGCTGGCCGACCACTGGATCTCTGCTTCAAATGAATCTGTGCTCTGTTCATTCCTTGCTGGTAATTTACCTTTTCTATGACAATTAAACGGAGCTGTGGTTTGTACTCTTCACGTGACCTTTTCCTTTGTACCACTGACAGATGCTGTGAGTTGATGTGGGGAGAGTTGAAGTCAACCAGAGAAAGATTTGAAATGTCAGATGAGAAGGAGCCTAGATCCTCAGTGAGGGGCTTCATTTTGGAAATTGCAGCCTGTGAACGTGAGCTTGTGCAAGGTTGGATTTAATTTCCTCAGCAGTTTTGGGATGACTTGCCACTGTGGAGCCTGTGTTTTGCTGAAGGGTAGTGAGATGGAGATTCTTGAACCATTTGATCAGTTTTAAAATGCTTTCTGTTGCCCCCAGGACAGCTTGCTGTCCTGCTTAAATGCTGCCTAGGAAAGTTTAGAGGTGTAATTGATGTACTTGTGAGGTGGACAGAGTTTAAACGTGGAGATCTGGACCTGTGTGGATAGGCAGGCAACTTTCCCCATGTGTGCAAGCCCTTAACTGCCTGTCTTCTTGTGCATTCTTTATGAAAAGGATGGTAATGCTGCTATGTAACCTGTCCCTGGCACTTGGAATTAAGATGTAATCCATAAATCTGCATAAGAGATGCTGAGCAAGAACCTCATGCAGCGTCGTGTTGGTTGATTTGATTTCACAGTTGTGTAATTTCTTTGGGTTTTATGCTCTTAGAGTGCAGGAGGATGGCTGCAGGTTAAGGAACTCGAGTTACAGAAACGTAATCTAAGCTGATTTATGAGCTTGGTGCTAGGAAGTCAGTTTCCAGATAGTCTTTTCCTACAAATCAAATGCTGAGGATTTTCTCTGGTAGAGGGAGCTTGATTTTATTTATAAACATGCTCGCATTTCTTGTCATGTTTGTATTTCAGCAAGAATGGATGGTAAGCATCAAAATAAATACCAGTATTGGCAGCTGTTCTTTTCATTTTTGACTTTTGCCCATTTCAAGAAGGAGCGTAACGGTTCCAGGGCTAATTAACAGAGATTTCCAAAGATACTTACACAGATCATAACAGTCATCTCTGTTGTGCAGGCAGCTTTGAGGTGAGACAAAAAATTGTCACACAGACTCTGAATTTCTCACGAGGGAGGGATGGGAGCTGAATCAAGGGGGGAGGGGGGACAAGAAGAATGCAGTGAACAATTAGCAGGCAATAACTCATCTTTCCTGATCTGATGGTCCCAAGCCATCCTCTGTACAGTGCTGAGATGCCCCTGCAGTAAAGCAGCCCTTCGTTCTGGGTGTGCCCTGGTTCCTGGTGGGGCTGGGCAGCTTGGAACTGCCGTAGTCATGGTGACTGGGTGGTGAGCGTGGTCTCAGTCTGCATCCTTGCTTGTCAGAGCTCAGTAATTGCTTAGAGGTTGCTCTGCGCCCTGCAGAAGCGGAGGGGAAGGGGCTGTGAGTGCTGTGCTGGAGCTGTCGGGGCAGTGAGCAAGCAGGGGGTGCCAGAAGGCCGGCGCAGGGCGTGCAGCGCCTGGAGGAGCCGTGGTGCTGGTTCTGTTTGAGGTCACAGACTGCTTCCAACAGACGGGGGCTGCAGCAACTGTCACACGCACTCTGAATCCGCAGGCAGGACTGCTGGCAACCATGCAGGGCCGCAGGGCAGACATGAACCAGCAGATCCAGGAGCTGCGCAACATCATTGCCTTGCAAGGTGCTGCTCTTACATTGCACTGCAGGGACAGCCCGTGCAGAGCTGAATCCGTGGGGGCAGGGGGGTGCAGGAATGCATGCACTGGTTGAGGGGTAGTGACTGTGGTGGCTTTGGACATTGGTCTCCAGTGTGGTGCTCAAACGAAATGGGTGACAGTCCCACAGGAGACAGAATCTGCAGCGGCTTCCTGTTCCCGTGGGCGCAGTGACTGGAGAAAGGGGGCATCAGGTTGCCACTGGGGCTCAGTGGGGCCTAGGCACTAGGGAAGCAGCATTTGGCCCAGTGTCCCATGTCTCTGCCTGGCCACTGTCCTTTCCCCGTGCGGGGCAGCAGCAGTGGGTGGTGTGGCACTAACGGCTCCTTAACATCCTGCAGAGCAAGGAAAAAAGTTTTCCAGGCAGTTGTCTGAGGAAAAGCATAGGCAGAACAAAGATCTGCTTTCCCGGCTGCACGGGACGTTGCGGGAGGACATCCATGCACTGGACATTGCCCAGAAGGTACCTGCCATTCCTGACAGATGCCCCCCTGCTCCTCTGCTGGGTCCCTCCAGGAGCAAACGCCAGCCGTGTAGAGCAGCAGTAGGCAGTGATGGTGCCCTGACAGACACTGATTTCTCTGTCTCTCTCCTGCCTGCAGCATGACCAGCGCATCATGTCTGAGTTTTGCAGAGCGCAGAAGTACTTGTGTGGCAAAACTGTGCAGGTAACAGGAAGGGTCTGCCTGGCAGCAGCTGGGAACAAGTGCTCACAGGAGTCCTTGGGCCAGCATCCCCCCCCAGGGCTGGTGCTGTGAGACCTAGGGCTTGCACGGGTCCCATCCCATGAGAAATGCTTGTTGTGTTGTAGGAGCCATCAGTATAGATATCTTCCAGCTCTTTGAGCAGCTCCCCAGCAGAGCTATGGCTGTCCTGCCTGCATTGTCTGCTGGGCTCCTGCAGGGCTGCACCCTGGGGAGCAGCATGCTCTCTCTGCCTGTCCCAAGGTCACAGCCCGGCTAGATGCCCATGGACTATGCCGGAGGAGCCAGGGCATCCCAGAGGATCTGCTTTGCCCAGGGGTCTCTTGCAAGGGCAGAGCAGTGCCATCACATGCTGCCAGCATCTGTATCTGGGGTGCGATTGATTTATTTTAATTGATGCTCGCTCAGTCCTGGGTCTGCATTCTGCATCCTGCAGAGTCCTGGCTCTGGAAAGCCATCAGCACCCACTTCTGCCTTGCTCTGCTGCTTGGGGCAAAGCTCTCCCACACTCAGCCCAGCCTGGGACTTACCATGTCCCAGTGTCCCCAAGTCCCCAAGCCTCTGACTTCTGCCCTGGAATGAGGTTCAGGCAGGTCCAGCCCACGAGCTCCTGCATGCCCATCCAGGGGGCCCGAGAGAAGCTCCGGAGCAGCATCTTCGACCGGGTGAATGCCTGCAACATGCTGCTGCACGAGGTGAAGCAGAGGAGCCAGGCTCGGGATGCACTGCGGTGGCAGCTGCAGCAGCTGCTGGATGTCAGGATCAATGACAAGAGGCACCAGGAGCAAGTGCAGGTACACAGATCCTTCCCAGTCCCAGCGTTGCCCAGGCTCAGCACGCCGGGTCACCCCATGTCCCACCCCGTAGATGATTCGCCAGCTGGAGAACAACATTGAGAAGATGCACATGAAAATCCACGCAGGGCAGAAGGTGACCACGCTGTACCTGGCACTGCGGGATGTCCTGAAGAAGGTGATCTGCCCCTCACTGTCCCCACTGTGTGGTAGGGCTGCTCCTCTGCTGAGGACGTCTCACAGAGGTTTGTTTGACCCATGTCTCAGTGGGTGACATGCAGTGGCTCTGTGCTGCAGGAGCTGGACTATCTGCTTCTGCATCTGGAGCTGCTGTACACCATGGCTGGGGCGTACCACGGGGAGGTGCAGGACAGGGAGCTGATGGCTTCGGGTGCTCTCAAAGCCAGTGACATTACCAAGGTGAGAACAGCCCCAGGTCACCTTGGGGCCTTCTCCAATGCCCCAAATCCCCACAGTGGCTTAGCACGAATGGCCCCATTTGCCCAGGCTAGTACATCTTCCTGGAGTAAATTGCAGAAATTTATTTCAGCAAAAAGCTGGGATTGCCCATGGCATGCAGATGCCTTCATAGCTCCTCTGTATCTGGCTGTCAGCTGCCCTGGGCTGGGCCCTACGTGTCTTCTGTCCTTCCTGCTTTCCTACACAGCCCCTTTACGCAGCACTCTGCTTTGGCCATCCCAGAAATCCAGCTGGCCCACAAAGGTCCTTCCAGCTTTGACTTTTCCTTTCTCTCCGGCTCTGCTGTGCTCCAGAAGGACCTGGCCATGCTGGAAACCCGATTCTTGGCAGAGGAGGAGGACAGACACCGCATCCTGTCTGCCCAGAAGGTGCAAACCGACTGGCTGTGGCTCAAGGAGGCAAGCAAAAAGCACTCGAGAGCGGTGAGTGGGTGGCAGCTGGGGCAGGGCAGCAGCTCGGACCACCCTCCCTGGGTGCAAGCAGCACAGTGGTGACAATGGATGTCCTTTCAGCAAGCCAGGTATGACCTGGCTGTGGACTTCCCCTCCCTGCTGGTGCAGGACTCAGCGCTGGGTGAGTACTTGGCAGTGCACAGGGTTAGGGCTCCGGTTTGAGGAGGGAGGAGGAGGGTTCCATCCCCTGGTGCCCTTCCTCCCACCCAGGCTCCCTGGTACAAGCCACTAGGTCACAGATTGAGCACGAGTCCTTTGTGACGGCGGAGGTGGAGAAGGCCAAGGCCGCGGTGCAGTGCTCCCGTGTCTGGGTAAGGGAGCAACCCACCCTGGGCGAAACCCTTCTGCCAGCACCTCTGCCCTCTGCTCGTGGTCTCATCTGAGGTTCTGTCCTCATGGCTGAGCCCCTGCACCATCCCTTGGCAGGACATCACCAGCAGGCTGCTGGCACAGCAGAAGTCCACAGCAGAGCTGGAGCAGCACATCAGAGCCTGCAAGGAGAAGCGGCGGGCGCTGAAGGACACGCTGCAGGAACTGGAGCTGAAGCACGCCAAGCTGAAGTTCCACCAGCCCCCAAGTGCTATCAGGTGCTGCCATGGCCTCGGGACACAGCCAGATGCAGATGCTCTGGGCAGTATTGACATGTCCTCCTATCACCTGGGCATGGGGACGTCCATGTCCCAATAGGTCCTCCTGCACCAGGAGCTTTGTTCAGTAGGGTGCTCCTCCCAGCAGAGCAGCCAGAGCTGGGACAGCAGGGACACAAGGCGAGGAGGGATGGATGAGGTCCTGCAGAGCCTTGGTGGCAGCAGGTCCTGAAGCCGTGATGTGGAGATACCCCTCAAACCCAGCCTGCCCAGTCCCAGCACACTGCTGGGCACATGCAGGACCCTTCTTCCCATTCTGCTCTGCAAGGTGGCATCACTGGCCCTTGAGCCTGCTCTGCTCCATAGTGTTGGGTCCACGTGGGCAGCCTGTACAGCACGTTGGGGTATGTCTGCACATGGACACCCAGAGGGACGTGTGTGGGTCTGGGCAGCTGCAGGAAGCTGGAGGCAGAGCTACGGGTGCGCCTGCAGCAGGAGGAGGCCCGGCTGGAGCAGGCACAAGCCCAGTATGTGAGGAACCAGGAGTTGCTGCTGCAGTTTGAGAACGGCATCGACAACCTCATCATCCGTCTGCATGGCATCAACGTGCCTGAGCAGGTATGGGGTGTGCGGAGGAGCTGGGGACACAGTGCCACCAGCTGCTCCTGCCTGTCTCCACCGTGTGTCCTCTCCCCAATGCAAGACCCATGGCAAGAATCATTTCTTACTACCACAGGATGGGTTGGAGGAGATCTCAAAGGCCATCCAGTTCCAACCCTCCTGCCGTGGATTGAGTGTCCTCCACCAGCTCAGGCTGCCCAGGGCCCCATCCAGCCTGGCCTTGCACACCTCCGGGGATGAGCGTTCAATGCTGCAGTGCATCACTGTGGCACTTGGTGCAGCCACCATCACCCAAAGCAACTCGCTGTCCCCATCATGGTTGTCTTTCTCTCTACCTGCAGGATCTCACCGTCGAGTTCAAAGGGGTGGATGAGAAGCTGCAGCACTGCAGGCAGAAGCTGCAGCACCTGGCCCAGCACGTGAGCTCCCTGCCTGCCCACAGCTACAGCCCTGATGAGGACAATGAGGTGCTTGGATGCTCTGTCCTTGCTCTGGTCTTTGGGGGTCCCCACTTGTGGCTCTGTGGCACAACCCAAGGTGTCCTCCCTGCTGGAAGAATGGAGGTGACCCTGGGGAAAGGGCAGGATAGCGCTGGACACTGTGGAGTGTCCTCTTCCCAAGGGACATCAAGGTGGGACACTCCTCATGTCCTAACACCCGCCTTTCCTTCGGCAATTAATTCTAAGTCTTTCACAGACTTTCGTGAAGGTCAGGAATTTAATGGAGAAAACGACTGCAAGAGAGCCATGGAACCTGAAGATTCCCTTGGAGGACATAGGCTCAGGGGTGCAAGGTAAGTGAGCACAGCAGGGACATGTGCCCAGGGCTGGGCAGTGGCTGTGGGACGTCTGGGTGTCCTGTGCTGCCTTCCTCTGTCCCATCAGACCCCAACCCATGAACTGTGTCTGTCTGCAAGGCTTTGAGGGTAGGTTTTGGGACTGGAGAAGAGTAAAGGCAACTGGTGAGCGGGTGGGTGAGTGCTGAACCCCGTTAGGAAGCAAGCAGAGTGGCTCTGGGGCAGGGGGTGGGGTTGTTGTGTGTCTTCATCAGCCAAATAAGGGATTTCAGCATCACCTGAGTGGGAAAACAGTGCTTGGCTCTATGAAGCCTCACCTCCTGTGGGACACTTGGAGGAGTTGAGTTTTCAGCTGCTTACCACCTTTTTATGATCAAAGCAGGACCTGTGACCAGCACCCCATGGCTCCAGCCCTCTATGGGAAGCCCCAGCAGTGTCAGGGATGAACCACTGCGGTGCCAGGGGATTAGGGTTAGGGTTAGGGGATGCTGAGAAGGGAAAACCCAGCAGGCAACACCTGTGCTGGAGATGCTACCAACCCTCTGAGATTGGTGGCTCTCCCTGGGGATGCAGGCATGGCAGAGGAAGCCTCACAACCCCCTAATCCCACTCCTCCCTGCTTTCTCCCTCAGCTCCCTCTGATTTTGTTGATGAAGACCACGACCCGGTTCCCACCCGGGAGGACATCAAGAAGCAGGGGCTGAGCCTGATAGAAAGCAGGATGAGAAGCAGCAAGAGGAAGTAGCGATTGCTGCCCCGGAGCTTCTGATGCCTTTCCTTTTCCCAGCAGGTTTAATAGAGCAGAGCTTTCTCATTCCCCCCAAGTCTGTGGTAAAGCTGGAAAGGAAGAGCTGGGAGGTGGTCCTGGCACACTGCTCTCACCCACCTGGGGACAGACTGCGGTGGGAGCAGCTTTCCCAGCCAGAGCAAAGCCATGGGTAGGCTGGCTGGTTTTCTTCCCCCTGGATTTTGGGATGCCAACACCTATTCAAGGCTCTGCAGAAAGCCAAGGACACTGACCGGTGCAAGGGCACACAACCTACTGCTATCCAAGGGCTCTGAGGCTGCTATGGGGAGATGTATGGCTGGGGAAGGAGGGGAACTCAGGATGGGTGCCCCAATGTCCCTGCGGAGGAGAGCAGGGGCAGGGCTAAGAATCAGATGAAGGCCCCAGTGCAGAGCTGTCCAACCTCTTCGTGGACCTCTCGTGCCTGCTTCCTCCTCTGCTGCCTGTGCACACATCACTCAGCTCCCACTGCCTGCCCTACACTCAGAGCAAAGTCTGGGCAGCAGCTCAGAGGTGACATCTTCCCCACTGGGCAGCGCAGTATGGGTCAGAGGCACCTGGCTCCGCCAGGAGGCATTTTGTTCTCTGCAAGCAAAGGCACACATCAAATAGTGCTGCAAATAGGTGGTGCTGTTTCTCCAAATACAGCCAACAGCAGAGGCCTGTAGTCCCTGCTGGAGACGTCCCTGCTGGAGACCCAGCAGCGTTTACCCATCCCTGCTCTCAGTGGGACGTCATCACTGTCACCTCCACTCGGTCCCTGGACTTCATGCTGATGTCATTTGTCACCTCATCATGGCAGGGAAGGAACAGCTGTGTTTGGCAAGGGTGCTGAGGGACTGCTTGTCACGCCAGATGCTCTCCATGGGTTTTGTGAGGCTGTTGGTGAGGAGAACGTATGGCAAAAATCACAGCGTAGTTTGGAAACTGGAGTCAAGTCACTCATCTGGACTGAGGGTTTCCATCAGCTGCGAGAGGAGCCAGAGAAAAGGCTCTTGAGCAGAGGAATCCCAAAACACTTCTCCAGTTTATGGTTTGTGGCCCATTGGCCAACATCAGAGTAATTCCTCAGTGCTCCACCCACCTTTTCAAGAAGGAGAAGAGCAATCACACACAGCGGCGCTGTGGTTTTGGGTCTACTGAAACCCATTAGAGGAGGAAGATCCAAAGGCAACCCGTCTCATCACGAGTGCCACAGCATCCTGAATCCTTTACGTGTCTGAAAAGCCATCCTGCAACCAGCACCTGGAGTTTTAATGCTCTTGTGCCACAGCGATGGTGCAAGAAGGAGTGGGAAGGAACCAGAGGCAGCGGCTTGATTTCTGGATCAAAAATCTGGATGCCCCATGGCACAGAGATGATGGGGCAGGAGGACCTCACGGGGTTGGTCCAGGGAAGGGTGCAGAGCATTCATTTGGCTTCTGGGAAGGGAGAGCTGGCGCTGGCTGGAGCTTCAGCAGCCATAGGGATAGCACAGCACGGGGAAGGAGCAGAGATTTCCTCTCCCTCCCCAAAAACATTTCCTCCCACCGCGAGCGTTGCCAAAGGGTTGAAGGGAGCCACGGTGCCAGCGCTGGCAAGGGCCCTAAAATAGGACATCATAAACTCACATCAGAGACTTCGCTGCACTAAAATATCTCTGCCCTGGAAACGCTTGTGGGAAGGCTGGCTTTGGGTGGGTGTGGGTTTTTTTTAAGGATGTGATCAAAATCACATGAAACGAAGCAGAGCTAAGGGAAGGAAGACAGGCTGGAGCTGGTATCGGAGCTTGAGCACTGGGGTTTTCCTGCTGAGGATGCAAGCACAGAGATGGGTGAGGGGCACCGAGCCAAGTCAGCTGCTCTGAGGTCACAGCAAGCAGCCTGGCCAGCTGTCCTGGGCAGGGAACAGTGGGCATGGCCACCACAGTGTGCTCCAGGAGGCAAACTCATGCAGCCAGGGAAACTCAGGCACTTCTCCATTCCCGTGTTGGCATTATGATGATTGATATTGATGAAGGCGACTTAAGGCTCTCTGCGTAACAGAGGTACAGCCTCGTTTTGCAGCAGGGTGACAATGGGGTCGGGGTGCCCAAAGCAGCCCCTGCCCCTTCAAGGACCCTGCCTGACCCAAAGAGCGGGACAAGAGGGGAGGTTAACAACTTTCTGATAGCAAAAGCATGTAAGAAAAGAGAATCGACATCTCTTGGGTGGTGCAAACACAACAGCTGGCCTTAGCTCCCATCCGGTCGATCCAGGACATGCTTTAACCATCCATGTGGATCCAGGGAATGTATGGAAGGGATGAAGGGGAGCAGGGGGTAAAGAGGTTCCCTGAGTGCCTACAAGGTGAGGGAGGAGGTGGAGGAGGGAGGAGGGGGTGGGGTCTGAGGGCCATCCATTACCATCCTCCTGCGCCCGCCCGTGGAAGTGACACATGGGTGCAGACAAGGCAGGTCAGCTGTATTTATTGAGAACGTTCGTGGAGGGGTTAAAAATATTTCCACTAGCTCTATACGAATTTATAAACCTATATTCTTTGTATACTTTAATAAACGCATCTATGGCCATCATGCAAAGGTAGGTTCTTCAGTAAGAAAATAGCGAGATAAAAAAGGAAAGTGCTCATCCAGCCTGCAGGTCCCTGCTCATGGGCGAGCTGATGCAGGGACCCCTCAGGCTGTGGCTGACACAGGGACACTGCTGGCACTGTCCCTACCGCCACCCAGCCTGAGCCATCCAAACTACGACATGGGGACTGTGGGGCTGAGGCTCAAGCCCACCCAGGGGATACCAAAAAGGGTGGCCCAGGCAGAGAGGGGACACGTTCCCATGCCCCCAGCTCTGCCTCCAGCCCTCAGGGCCACCGTGCTGCCTCACTGTCCCCTTTCTTCTTTCCCCATTGCCTGAGGGAAGCGGGGAGTTGGGGTGCTCTGCCAGGAAGCAGCGTGGATGGGGACATCTGGGGGGACACAGTGTCACGATGGACAAGCAAGCAGCCGAAACGCCATCAGGGACAAAGCTCTTGCCGAGCAGGGGGACAGTGATTATTGCTTTGTAGGGCCAACAAGGTGGGGTCAGGTCTCTGCTCACTGCGATTTGGGGTTGGAGGGATGGTGTTTGGGGGAGATGATGTTTCCTCAGGGTTCCTTGTGCACCAGCCTGAGCCATCCAATGCTCCCATGGGACAATGCTCCGTTGGGACAGGGAATGTGACAAGGACACGGGGCTGGACACCGTTGGTCATCAGAACCTCCTCTGTTGGCAGGGGAGACCCTGGCCAAGGGTGACCTGTGGCCTCCAGGAGCCACTGAACTTCTGTCATTCAGATTTCCCTTCCACCCCTATCTTGAGTGGTACAGACCCCAGTTTGTGAGACTGGGAGCAGTCCTCTCCTTCCCTCTTCCTTCACAGCATGAGCAGGCAGGGACAAGACCATGGGCAATAGGGCAGTTGTGGCCTCTTGAAGATACCCGGGGTAGGAGGGACACAGAGGGAGCCAAAGCCGTGGGGACAACACTGCGCCCAGCCCAGGGGGCGCAGGAGGGACTGGGACAATGTCTGGGGGAACCTGGGAGGTGCACCCCATCCCCTCGCCATCCCCAAGTCCATAAGGCGACACTGCAGCAGCTTAAGGTGAGAGGTGTTGTTGGTACCGAGTCTCAGAGCTTGGCTGGGATGGAGCATGATGTAAACATTTCTGATCCGCGTGGGGCACGGCCGGAGGAGGAGGAGGAGGAGGGGCTGGGGGAGGGGGTTAGTGGGAGTCCTTCATCTGCTTCTGGATCTTCTGCAGCATCTCCTGCATCCGCCGCAGCTGGAAAGGAACAAAGAGGTGACAACAGGGAAGGTGGCATCGCCATGTGCTGCCCATGGCTACATCACCTCCCCTGATCAAGCCTGCCAAGTCTGGACCACCAGGAGTTGTGTTCTGGGGCAAAACCTACAATTTTCTTCAAATTCTTCCCCACCCTGAGTGGGGCATTGCAGAAAGGGTGTCCCATGCTGGGGCTGGGGGCAGCACATGGGGACAGCGGGGGGAAGGAATGGAAGCTCAGTGCTCACCTCTTCATCCTTCTCTCGGATGAGCTTCTCCGTCTCCGAATCCGGCACCGGGGGGATGACAGGGATGGGGAAATCCGTGCCGCTCTCCCGTGTCAGCTTGCTGCAGGGCAGAGAGAGGAGGTGAGGATGCTCCCACCCCCCCAGGCTCGAGCTCTCCCAGCTCACCAAACACCTCCAAGCCCCACGCAACATCTGAGGACAGCACTGTCAACCTGGTGTCCCACAGCTGCTGGCAGTGCAGCTTTCCCAGAGCATCGCTGAGGACAGGCATTGCAGCACAGCGCATCCCCCCACCCCCCTGGGCCACCCTTTTGGGAAGGACTGAAGTGAGCTGAGTCGATGGGTTCTGCCATGACAAGGGCACGGGGAGGGTCCCCATTGGATGACACGTGGTGGGGACATCACTGTCACTCACAGTGGTCACGCGTGTCACCATGCGCCAGCGACAAGCGGGGCGGTGATGGGTTCAGTGAAGCTGACACAGGGGACGGCTGCCCCAAGGCACTGGGTAGGTGTGGGTGTGCGCAGGCAAGGGCTGGCTTCTGACTGCGTCCTGAGTTGCTTTGGGAAACCACCACCCACCATCACTGCTCCTCACCATTGGGGGTCACTTTGGGAAGGTCACTGGGGATGGAACCAGGCACAGGCCGAGCAATGTCACCAGCCCAGGGGACCTGCCCCAGGGACTCTTCTTAAAGGAGTCAGTGGCTGCGCCCTGAGCTGGCTTCACCCCAGGATGAGGCGCTTTGCTCTGTGTGCCTCAGGATGAGACTAAGTTGTGCTGTGCCCGGCGCACCCATCCCCATGGGACACTTTCCTGCTGGAGGTGGGTGCTTGGTGACAGTGGCACAGGGTGTCCCTGCCTTGCCCAAACGAGTTGGGTGTCCCCAGTACGAGGGCACAGCATCCTCCCATCGGTGCTGCACCAAGGGCAATCAGCTGCCAATCTGGGCAATGGGTGGGTGGCTGCAGGGTCGGCCCAGGAGCACCCCCCCCCCGCCAGTGCTTTTGTGCACAGCCCTTGCCAGGCACAGAAGGACCAAGACAGCATTGGGTACCAGCAAGCACTTTATAGAGGGGCAGGGGGTGCAGCGGTGGTGGCAGGGGGGACGGGCCCGTCCCCAGCTCAGTCTGCGGAGCAGTCGGAGCAGCACAGCCGCAGCGCCGAGGGCTGCTTCCTTCTCCCAGTGCACATGGAGAGACAAGCTTAGGGCACCCATGGCCATCACCAGTGACTGCCCAAAGCTAAGGACGAGGTCCCCCCGCAGAGTCCCCACACCCTGCCAGCCCATTGGGCACCCAGATTTTGGGGTGCTGAAGGGCGTGCAAGCACCATCAATCTGGCAATGACGGAGAGCCCTGGCACCTGCTGCCTGCTCTGCTCCTCCCCCAAAGCCCATAAACACAGGGTTCCCATCACCCCTCCAGCCACCAAGGCGAGGCCACCCACCGTGACAGGGCGTCCCATGGACAAGCCAAGGAGAGGAGGGGCTGCCCCAGCCCTCCCACAGCCCAGCCCTGCTCCCAGGCCCGTACTTGCGGTTCCTCTCCTTCACCACCATGCGGGTCATGCTCTGGATGCACTGCGTGCGGTAGTTCTCGTAGTGCGTCTCACGCGTCACATCCTTCAGGTCCTGCATGTGGGTCCTCACCAGCATGGTGCGCAGCTTCACAAAGTCACAGTGAGACGGATTCTCCACTGAGGGGGTGGGGGGAAAAGCAGGGGTCAGGGGACCCCAAATGCACCCGCATGGGGACCAGATCGTGGAGAAGGAGCACGAGGTGCCCCCATCTCCACAGGGACGCGTCCCGGTGACGTTACCTTCCACAATGCCCCAGGGGTAGAGCCGCCCACGGACACGCCGTCCCTTGGCTTCCACCACCGTGTTGCTGCCGATGACAGCAAAGGGGATGCTCTCCTGCAAGGGAATGGTCATAGAATTAGAGCAGGTCTTGGCACTGCTGCTGTGGCCCACAACCCTCCACCTGCATTTCTCTGTCCATATCCAGCACTGATACCCTGGAGCACTGTCTATGGGGTGGCAGCATCACAGCATGGGTTTTCCCCTATCCCCATCCCCATCCCTATCCCCATCTCTGTTTTCATCCCCATCCTATCCCTTCCCCCCAAGTTGCAGGTGGCGATGACAAGATCTCCGTGGGATGTCCAGCATCCATGAATGTGACATGGCTTCCTTGGCCCCAGGTCCCCTCCAGGACAAGATGCCCCCACTCTGTGGGGCTCCGCCCCCTCTCCACAGTGCTGGAGGAACCCAACCCACCTTCAACGCTTGGTCCTGCAGCTTGAACTCCTCATCCTCATCCGAGTCGCACTCAGGGAACTGATAGATGCGGATCCCATAGTGGTCAATCTCCTCCCGGATCTGGAAGAACACAGCCAGTGCGTGGCAGGGCTCTGCTCCATGGGAAGGGACAGAGCCACACACCCCATGTCCCTCATGCACCCAGCATGCTTGCTCCCAAGTTGGGTGACACAGACATCCCACCACTCGCAGAGAGACACGTCCTTGGGGACTGTCACTGCTGGGAACACGGAGAATGCTCCGCACAAAGCCCAAGCAGGAGATTGGAAGAGCCACCAGATGAGAGGAGCAGGAGGTGAGGGGACAGTCCGGGGCAGGACCTCACCTTATTCTTCATCCGTTCCACCTCAGCAGGTGTCAAGGTGTCAGCCTTGGCCAGCACAGGCACGATGTTCACGCGCTGGTGCAGCGCCCGCATGAACTCCACATCCAGGGGCCGGAGGCTGCAGGAAGCCCCGTGAGCCCCGAGCCCTTCCCCGTCCCTCCCATTTCTGCTGCTCGCCCCAGGTGGGCAGGGGATGGGGATACCCCTACCCGTGGCCAAAGGGCGAGATGAAATAGATGCAGCAGTGCACGCGGTTGTCCTGGATGTTCTTGCGATTGAGGCCACTTTCATCGCGGAAGTACTGCTCGAACTGCTGGTCAATGTAGTCAGCCACCGGCTTCCAGCTGTGGGGACAGCGGGCTGGGAGGGAGGTGACCACCCCACGGCCCTTCCCCAGCCCCAAACTCACCATCTCCAGGCTCAACGCCTACTCCTAAGGTCAGTATCATGTCCCAAGGACAGCATAAGCCATAGTATCACCAAGCAACTGGGGGCTGCCCGCACACACATCCCCATCCCCAGATCCCCATCCTTGGGGACGTTCCATTCCCCTCCCCATGCTGAGGATGTGCCCTGGGTCGCACCACTCAGTGTTGTTGACAGCATCACCGAAGCCCGGCGTGTCCACGATGGTCAGGCGCAGCTTGACGCCCTTCTCCTCAATATCCACCACATGCTTGGTGATCTCCACCGTCTGCGTGATGCGCTCTGCAGGGACAGGAGACACGGGGATGGCACTGGCATTCCATGCAGGGGGTGGGGATGAGCAGGATGTGCTCACAGCCACAATGGCACTGCACTCAGCACAATCCCCGTGATGGGACGGCAGTGACACAAGGAGATATCACAGCCCCTGAATCTCTCCCAGCCCTTGGGGACGTGCGACACCACCAGGCTACCGGTGTCCCCATGGTGACCTGGTCACCATGGGCACCAAACCCAGGCACATCATGGGTGCTTTGTGTCCCTGGCTTTTAAACACAGCACCAATGGGAGGCCCTCACACTCTGTCCTCGCATTCCATGTCCCCAAGGATGCTACCATTGTGTGTAGCCATGCATGCATTCACCAAGGCTGCAAATAGCTCCTAGCAACCAACAGAAATCCAATAACTCTGCTGGATCCCGGGGATGGGGACCGTATTTCAATTCACCAGGCCACGTGGCACTGCGCCCCGGACCTGACTGTCCCCAGTGTCCTATGAGCCCCAACAAGCCGGGCTTTGTTCTGCCACTGCTCTGAGACAAACCCATGCCAGAGGACCCTACTGCCTTGGCAGAGCCCCACGCCTGCTTCCTCCTTTGGGGGAAGCCCAAAAGTGACAAACATGAGTGTAGGGGACCGGAGGAGCCCAGCTGGGGTGGAGAGTAACTGCCAGCTCCGAGGGTCATAGCTGGAGATGGTTCTCCAGACCCATCCATGCCCCCTCCCTGCTGCCCTACCTTCAGCGTTGAGAAGCTTGCGGTCCCTGTACATGTCTGTCAGGAAGAGGCTGTTGACGAGGGTGGATTTGCCCAGCCCAGATTCCCCTGCAGTGACAGGGAGCGGTGAGGGGACACTCAGGTCACTGTCCCCACTCCAGCCACCATGCTGTCTCCTACCTGCCACCATCAATGTGAAGTCAAAGCCCTTCTTCACTGACTTGCGATGGACCTGGTTGGGAAGCGTGGCGAAGCCCACGTACTCCTTGTCATCCTACAGGTAGAGGGGACATGGGACAGCGTGCTCACCATGGGGCTGTGCCCCCCTGGGCAACCCCAAGGGGGTCCCATGGGGTCATGGTAGCGTAGGACCCCGTGGGTTGGGCGCACACCTCACGGTGACTCCTCCATCCCCTCTACCACCCCTGCTCCCCAGGGGCCCACCACACCTCAGAGGAATCGTAGGGGTCCAGCTGCCCCCAGGGGCTGCGCGGCCGCGAGGGGCTGGGCGGTGGGGGGGCCATGATGAGCTGCTGGGTGTCCAAGGGTCGGGGGCGAGAGAAGGACCGCACGTCGTGCTCATCGGCAGGCTCCTCACCGGGGGCCCTCCCACAGAGGGGGTGGCCAGAGTCCCGCCGGCCCTCAGGGGGCTCCACTTTGCGGGGGCTGTCGGCAGGAGGGCAGTCCCTGAGGAATTGGGTGAGCTCAGCCTCTTCCGAGTCCTCCTTCAGGAAGCGCTTGATCTGGGGGGGAGAAGGGACAAGGAGAGAGGGGACGGCTGTGGCGGCAGTGCCGTGCCGTGGTGGCACCAAGGTGGCACCGCGCTGTGACGGCTCTGCGAAGTGGGAGCCCCAGATCAACACAACATCAGAACCCCAAACCTCCACTGTCAGCCTCATGCACCCCAAGGCAGGGACACCTTGGGGACAAAAGAAAGGGACAAGAGTGCCAGCCCCGGGACAGGCGTGGGGACAGAGCGGGGACAGCGCGGTGCCATGCAGCAGGGTGGTGAGGGCGCTTACAGCTTGCTGCATGGGCAGGTCAGCCGGATCCTGGCATTCCTGGGGACACGGGTGGGGGCTGTCCCCCCTGGCCCTGGGAGGGCCCTGGACACCCCCACGTTCCTTGGGGTCTTCTGGCAGAACCCCCATGTGTGGCTGTGAGGGAAAGGTGCACTGGGGAGGGAGGAAGACAGCAATGAGAAAGATGAGAGGTGACAGCCCTGGAGCTGAGGAGAACCTTAGAGGGGGCAGGAGTTTGTGAATGGTTCCCCATGGTCAGCACCATAGGATGCCTGGCCCTACAAGGTGGCCCCAAACAGGGGACATGGAGGGCCTTGGGCAGCTCCCACTCTGCAGGACAGCATCTTGGGGTCTCAAGGTGACAGTCCACCATGGAACACACTTCCCCCCTCCCCTGTCCTATGTCCCTGCCAGAGGCGAGGCAAAGCACGCTGAGTTATTGGGCTGGAAACGAGGTCACTGCTGCCGGGCCACAGCATGCTCAGCTGCCCCGCACTGCCCAGCACCCCCACTGCCACCAGGATGGTGACAGCAGTGTCCCCTCAAAGGGCTGAATGGCCCCTGCAGTACCCCTCCTCTCCCTCCCCCCTCCCCCCCCATCTTCAGCATGTCAGCAGCACTCAGTGTGTCCTCACCCTGATCAGTTTGCTCAGGGCATGCTGCCTATCTGAGGACCACACGGGGACAGGTGACAGTGTCCTCTGTCCCCAGCCACTCCCAAAACCACTACCCCACTCTCCCAGCAGACCTTGGGGGTCCTCTGCCCAGCACAGAGCCCTATAATGCTATTAGGGGCTGCACCACATCCTCGGGGACCCTGCAGCAAGCGTGTCCCCAAGCAAGGCTGTCTTGGAGACAGAGCTGCAGCACATTCCCCAGCTCCCACCAGCCGGGTGAGGGCTCCCACTGTGCCCCCCACCCACATCTGCCCCCTCTACCCCCCATACCTCCTGCAGAGGCTGCAGCTCGGGGCAGGTGGCCATGGCCCAGCCGCTGTCACTCGTGGCAGGGAGATGCTGTGAGTGGCACAGGCTGCGCCCAGGCTCAGGGAGGGACAGGAGGGACATTAGCATAACTCCACCCTGCATGAGCACCCAGCACCCTCAGCACCCAGACACAGCTCTGCAGGGGTGCAGGAGCAGCACAAGGGGCACAGGGGGGCACTGGGATATGGGGAGAAGAGTGAGCCCAGCTGTGAGGCAAGAGAGCAGCTCTGGGGGTGGCAGGGGTCATAAAGCATCACCAGACAAGGCAGTGGGTGGGTGGGAAGAAAACTGGGCTGCCTGACTGCCATACGCCCCTCAGGCTGAGTAGAACATCTATCCTAAAAGCAACATCTCCATCCCAAATACCCCCATCCACAGCAGAACACCTCTCTGCTGCCCAGCTCATCCTCAGGGGTTAACCCAAGTGCTCACAGGGCCCCTGCAGGGCAGAAGCCCAAGCTGTCAGGGCTGGGGTCTGCTCCCATCAGCCCGATGCTGATTTGCCTTGATGCATGTCGAGATGCATTGGGCATGGGACTGGGCACGCTTCACTTGCCTGGCTTAGCTGGGAAAGTGCTAAAAAGCCCCAAAGCACCAGGGGGGTTAAAGGGGGAGAGCTGAACCACGGGGATGTAGGTGCAGAGGGGTCCAGTAGGGGGTGATGCTCCACCCCCCAGCACCCCATAACGCAGAGGTGCCACACGGGTTGTCACACTGAGTCCCAGCAGCAGCATCACCACAAGGCCCTGACTATCCCACCTGTGAGTGGGGATTTATAGTGCAGCTCCACGCCCCGTAAGCGGATTACACACCCTGCTGCACACGCCAGCGAGGAGGCATTTGCTGCCCTGTCCCCACCTGCCACCCCGCATCGCACCTTCCCGCAGGTGACAGCTCGAGGGCTGCGAGGGGGGAGGCTGCAGAGCCACTGGAGCGGCAAAACCTGCGCTGGGAGAGCCGCCCTGAGCATCCCCACGCTTGGCTGCTCCCCTCAGCCTTCCCAGGCTGCTCTGGGGAAGCTCTGCAGCCAGGATGTGGGCACCCCCAGACCCGCACTGCACTCTACCACTGCATCTCACCTAAAGGTGGCATCCATCCGTGTCACAGCCCTGCACACACCGCTCCCCACATCACAACACCACCAGCACCTTTGCCCCCCTGCTGCCTGCCAGTCCTCTCACCCAACACCTACATCTACTGTGCTCCCTGCAAACTGCAACAAGCTTCTCCAAAACCCATCTTCATGGCTCCCCACCCCCCCTTAAGAACAAGGGGCTCAACTGTCCCTGTGTTCCTTTCCCAAGGCAGCCAGCAGCCACACGTTGCTGAGCAGTGCCGGGAGCTCCCAGCTGCCACCAATACCCTAAAATCAGAATTTCTCACTTCCAACTCCCACCTCCCACCCCATCGGTGGTGGCTCTGTTGGGAAACCCATCCTCGGGCTGCATCTGTCGCTCTTGGGCAGCCCAGAGAGGCGGTGATGGGGCTGAGAGCATTACCAGTGCTGAGAATCGCTTTGGACATGGGAAACACAGGTGAGGAGCAGGGCGGAGGGTCGGGCAGTGGGACGGTGCCCGGCTCCGGGCATGGTGATGGCATCGGGCAGAGGACCGCGCAAAAAACTCCTTCCCTTGGTTCAGCCCTTCCCTCGAGGCACCTTTCCAGAGCCGCAGGAATGAGCGGGCCGGGAGCGCAGGGCAGCACAGCGGTGCCGCAGCCTGGAGGTGATACCGGGGCCGCCCGGGCTACAAGCAGCGCAGCGCTCCGGTACGGATCGCTAATCGCACCGCAGCCCGGAGCTGGGGGGAGGCGAGCAGGAGCACTGAGCGCGCCCAGAACGCGAAGCGGCCCCGACGTGGCCGGGAGCGGATGGCTCAGCAGCGGGGACGGGGCGTCCCTCGGCTCCGTCCGTCCCCCAGGCCCATCCGGCACCGTTTGGGGAGGGCTCTCCGCGGGACCGCCGCGCTTCTCCGGCCGCCCTTCCCTCCCCTCTCCCCTCGTCCCGCGCCGCAGGAATGTGCCGCTCGGTTCCCACGGTGGCCGCAGCGCTGTCCCCACCCTTCCCGGTGCCACGGGGACCGCACTCCCATCGCGGGCACGGGTTCCCTACGGGGACCGCGGGGACCCCTCTGCCGGCAGCGGGGCGGAGGAGCGGTGCCACCGGCGCGGGACGCGGGGCTCCGGAGGAGGGACGTGGATGGACCGCTCGGGGCCGCGTCTTCGGGGGTGACCGAGGGGTGACAGAGGTGTGACAGAGCGCTGAGAGAGGGGTGGCTGTGCTGGGGCAGCCGCTACCCTCCCAGACCCGGGGGTTCCGCAAATAACGGGGCGCAGGTGGAAGTGTTAGGGGGGTCCCGCCTCGATGAAGCACGAGAAGCGTGCAGCGCGCTCCCCCCTCCTCACGTCTCCCGTGCTCCTCCCGTGGCTGTCAGGTCCGGCCGGGTTGCCCCTTTCCCCCCCGCCCCTCTGCGGCACCGGATGGCCCGGCCCGGCCCGCTCCGCCCCGCGGCACCGTCACCTTCACGGAGGGCACCGGGATGCGGCAGAGCCGGGATGCGACGATCCCGAATCCCGCGTCCCGTGTGTCATTTCCTCCCCCCGCCGTCCTCCTTACCATGGCTGCGGCCCGCGCGGGGCGGGGGCCGACCGGGAACGGCGGCTGAGAGCGGCACGGCCGGGCCCCGCCGCCGGGATTAGCGGAACGGCAGCCGGCGGGGCGGGGCGGGGGCGGGCCGGGGCGGCACCGACGGCGGCATCACTGCTGGCACCGGCACCGGGCATCCGCGATAACGTCTGTACCGGCACCAGCATCGGTGTCGGCGCTTCGTACTGGCACAGGGAACTGTGCATCATTCAGTGCACCAGTGCCACGGACCGAGTGCTGGCGCCAGGCACAGGGCAGTGGTGCGAGGTAGCAGTGCTGGGAATAGGGCTCCAGCACTTTGAACTGAGTGTGGGGCACCGTCACCAAGGCCTCGGGACAGTGCACCAGTACCGGGTATGGGCACCAGTAACTGATACCAGCACAGGGCACCCGTGTGGGTACCCACTGAAGGGTGATGGCACCAGTACTGGGTACAGAGCACCAGCACCGGCACCAGAACCTGGTAGTGGTGGGAGGGGGCAGCCCCAGCACTGCGAATTGGGCGACAATACTGAGTGCTGCTCAGCAGATACTCGGTACCAGCATTAACACCAC